AAGGGGGGGGCCCCTGTGGGGGGCTGTAGCACCTGTGTGGGGGGGAGCATAGCCATTGTTTCATAGATTCACAGATGCTAGGGTCAGAAAGGACCTCAACAGATCATCGAGTCCAACCTCCTGCCTAGGCAGGAAAGTGTGCTGGGGTCAGGTGACCTCATCCAGATGCCTATCCAGGCTTCTTTAAAAGACCCCCAAGGTAGGGGAGAGCACCACATCCCTTGGAAGCCCATTCCAAATTTTGGCCACCCTTACCATGATGATGTTTTTCCTGATATCTAGCTTAAATCTGCTCTCTCTCAGTTTGTGACCATTGTTCCTTGATACCACAAGAGGCGCCCTGGTGAACAGAGCATCTCCAATCCCTTGCTGTGTCCCCCATAATAAATTTGTAGGCAGCCACAAGATCACCTCTCAGCCTTCTCTTGTGGAGGCTGAAGAGGTCCAGGTCCTATTGGGGGGCTGTAGCCCATGGGGGTGGGGGGGCTGGACAGCAACATATATATTCATGTATTTTTGATAGATACACTGGTAGTCTTCCAAACTGCTTTAACACTGTAGATATAACAACAAAACATTGTCCAACTGATTGCTGTCTCTGTGTGTCACTCTCCCTGTCTCTCTGTATAGTGGTCTTTTGTTTTAAGTGTGGAGGAACATGGATTTTGGGGTATTTTACAGAGTGACTTTGGGATTTTTTTTATCAGTGATTTTTAAGTTTCCCAGTAGGGAACATCAGAATTCCTGCTAGGGAGGCCAGTGGCAGGACCCTGCTGGCTCAGAGCTGGCACCTTAGCCCTAGCTGGCTGTGACTGACCTCCTGGCCAGTTGGGGCCAGGAGGACATGCTTTGACAGTTCAAAGTAGGCTGCCACACCCGGAACATCTTCTGAGCAATAGCTATCCAGATGGCTGGGCAGGGGGCACACATGGCAGTAGTGCTGCACAAAGGCCAACTCTGCAGCCACAGCCCTCTGGCAGCTGGCCTAGAGGGGCAGATGCCTCATCCAGGTCCAGCAGGTCAGAGTCAGACTGCAGCCCCCACTGCAGGGGATGCAGGGAACTCTCAGGGCCACTTCAGCGGTCCAGCTGGCACAAGGGGTAGTATCCCCAGGTAACAATTGGCTGGGCCTGAGAAGTCTTGAGAGCAAGTAGCCCTGAGGTACTCACAGGAGCAGCTTTTTGTACTGATGGGTCCAGAACAGGGCAGCGTTTTATACTGCAAAGCTTAGATTCAAGAGCTAGGTACAGAAAGTATGCATAAAAATGTATAAATGACTGGAAAATGGTTCAAATCTTTAACAAAACAGGGCTAGGTACAGCTATTCAAAAAGCCCAAGGTGGAATTTATCTAAGTTACACAGTTTTCTATAAGTGGTATAGTTAAGATCGGTAGTGAACAGAACACACATTCACCTGGGTAAGGGGAGGGGGGAGGAATGAATCTTAGACTGGGTCCCACCTTTTTAAACAAGTCTGTGTGTGCCAAACTTCTGTTCTGTTATAATTACAGACTGGTTTCCAATCACTTATACTGGGAAAAGTGTAATATAACCTGGCCCAGAAATTCTTTGAACATAAACTGCTTCCAAAATGTCTGAAACTGGTTTCAGATAAACTTGGATGGATGTAGTATCAGACTTAACTGATTTAGGTTAAATCAGGTTACTGAACTTCTGTGTCAAATCCCCTCCAGATTCAACTTAGCTCAAAGTCTCCCAGCATCCCAGGATGCTTTGCCCCCCCCCCACAAGCCTCTCCTCACAGGGTGGGCAGGCTAGCCTGGGCTCAAACTCTCTGCTGTAGCCAAGAAGGGATGCATGCTCTAGCACCCCCAGCTTCTAGCCTGGGCCACTGCAGGCATGTGGCTGCATTTCTGGAGTCAAAAGTATGCATCTGTTCACTTCCTTATCAGTTTATTCTACACAACTTAAACTAACCTGCAAAGATTGAATTGATTCAGTCTTGGCTTTCTGACTGACTGTATTTAGCCAAGTACCACAGTCATTTCTGCTTAAGTCCTGTTAAATTTTGTTTCAGGTGTATACATTTAGTCCCAAATGCCTATCTATAAAACTATGATATGTTTAGGGTGTCTGGTCTTCTATGAGAAAAGGCTGACTTACGTAGGTGACTAACTCCAACAGAGGGTTCAAGGCTGAGAATTCCAGGCAAGGATACATCCTAAGTATTTTTTTTATGAATGGGGTTTAGGCCCCGCCTCCCAACTGCAAATTTCCTAATGGTTATCTTAGATGGCATCCTGCTCAGCATTTCAGTTTAAGAGAACACATTATGTAGGGACTTAAGGTCACATCTCCTGTTTTCCTGTTGAAAGCAAGATCACCACGAAAGAACAAAACCTTATGGACGCAGTCCCACTCCATACAATCTTCATTAGGAAAGTGGACTTTATGAGGATTCTGAATTTAAAAAAAAATGGGGCAGTGAATTGTAATATACATCCATGTGCCTAAAATTTAGATGTCACAGTACTTATTACAATGCTTAAGTCTCTTTATGGAATTAGGCTACCTAAATCTAGAAACCCTTCTTTTGCTAGTCCTCTGCTTCCAATGATTTTTTGTTTGGGTGCTTTTGCTTTTTATGGTGATTTATGTTCTAGCTTTCCATCTGTTAAAAGGCTTCACCTTTGCTTCCAGCAGGGCATAGCTAATCTAGCTCTTCCAGTGACTGGTATCCCAGCAACCATCAGTAATAGCCTTTTCCACAACTTATATGTTTATCTAATTGACCTTTTTTATTTTGTTTTGAAAGGGGGAAAGGATAGAAAGAGGGAAGGATGTTCCAACAATTAACAGAACAAAGGAGGAAAACAAAACAAAAAGGAATGCATCATCCTGGCAGATGTAACACTACAGACAAGAAAATATGAAACAGGAAAGAATATGAACCGTGCAGAGAAAAATAAACAGAACCTAAAAAGAAATAGTTTCTTACAGGCACAGACTACCTCACCATGAACTATATTTTTCAGATGAGCAAAGTAGCACACTATGAAAATATATTCCATGTATTTTACTAACATATCTATTAATAGCACATAGATTTTAGGATAGAAGCGATCATTATGTAATATACTGCATAACATAGGCCAAGAATGAATGTCTCCTTATTCCAATAAATTTATGGGCACCAAAAAATAAAACAAACAAACAAACACACACATTTGTCATCCTCCGAGCAAGTGAATATTTCTCACTTAAAGATAAGCAATCTACAAATAACAGCTCAGAGAAATGCACAGTGCCTCATCACATCTCAGTGGGGTTTCAGGTTTATAGACTATTTACACCACTTGAAATGTCAACATTATGAACTATTTCAGTGTTGAATTAAACTGGCGAGAAAATCAGGAGGATGATCTCTTCTGTCTAATATGTCACTTTCGGTTTTCTGAGTGGGTGGGTACTGGTGAATAGGGGTGTTGCTGCTTAGTTTTTTCTCCTTACTTCAATTCAAACTTTGGGTGATAATGAATTAATAGGGTTTATTTTCCTCTGTAGTTTGACTATGGTGAGGACAGTTTATTGTATGTTTTTAGATGAGCTTCATATGTGGTCACTAGGGTAGCATAGGGTTTTTTTTCTCTGTTTGTTAGTCTTTTAAGATGTGGCTTTCAGGTCATAAAATCATCATTGTTTTGTGTGCATTGTGGGGCCTTAATGGGAAAGAAGCTATTTTTATCTACTGCCACATCATAATTAACCTTTAACAACAACACACAGTACCTTAGCGTGTCTCTCTTCTAGAATAGATGCATACCTCTTCAAGTCAGGACAGAACAGAGAATAAATTGTGATAAAAGGGAAATGAAGCTGAGATTACAGCCCTTCAAACTCATCTTCTTTGGTGTTTTGGTTTTTTTAATGAGAAGACAGTCATTGATAGAACAAAATATAGGAAGTCTTTCCCATCACTAGACAAAAATGCCAATAACCGAAAATCATTTTCAACAGTGGAATTTCACAGGCTAATAAGGAGAAAACTGATGCCCATGAAACTTCCCAGGAAATGAAATTCTGGGGATTTAGTAACAATACAATCAGTGAAAAAAATCCTCTTAAAAATTCAAGTTGCAAGTCCCTTCATCACAATAAAAATGTCATATTAAATTCTAGTAGTGTCATTGGTTATGCTGTCTCATTCAATTAAAATACACCAAAGTTCACAAGAGTATGAAACTTCCACAATAAAAAGTTTAATATAGCTTGTACTGTACTTGCCAGAATGGGGTGTACTTCACCTTTGGCTTCTCATGCATTCTTGATGCTAAGAACAGACATGACATTTGGTCTTACATAAATTGTTCCTGTGTTTGTCCCTAAACAAAAATATATTTGGATTACAGTAGCATTTACACATATCACTCTTCTAATCGGGGTTTAGTGAGCAACTGAATGCAGTACCACTTTTCTGCTATCGATTAAATAATGCAATCCTGGGATAACTGTACAGTCATACTTTGCAATATTTCAGGATAAGAGATAGTAATAGTTTCTCTGGTAAACCTTTTTAGGACTTATCCCAGGACAACAGACATGGATGTCTGTATGACTGCACTTTATCCTGGGATAAATATGATATTTGTTTGCTGCTTGAGTCAAAATGCATATGCTATGCTTTATATTTCATTCATATTACAAAACATGATCTTATGATGTTAATGGAGCTGGCAAATTTGTTTTAAAAGCTTTGCATTGGTATTTTGGATAAGATTAATGTATTGGTTGATTGAGAGAGCTTTATAAATAAAGACATTAAAGAGTATTTCATGACAAGACCATGGTGTTTCAGAGAGTCAGACCCAGTATTTAAACTTCTTAAATTAAGAGGAAATGAATAACCAGAAAATATAGTTCTGTCAGGTAGCACAAGCATAGGCTCATTTCCAGGTTCTCTCTCCTCTCTCTCTCAAAATATACACAAGTTTGGAATGAATTGAATAAATCCTTCTTGCTTCATTACATTTTCCCTTTTCATAATTCTAAACAATATTATTATTACTATTTTAAAACCTAGTAGCCCTTTGAAGGACACACTTCACTTCCTTTGGTTAATGGGAAATAATTGAGCTTTTTGGTAAGTTTTTAATCTCCTGGTATATTTATAAAGCTTTTGTTTCATAGTGACTCCTTTAAGTTAAGATAAATATATATTGTTAACTTTAAAGGTTAGTTCTTGTTTATTATGCTTGATCCATGATCTTGAGTAAGGTAGCAAGGTAATATTTAGGGTAGTATATAACTGTACTGCCCTATAGGAAACCCCAGGGACTATCACCTATCCTGACTATTTGTTTCCCTTTTGATCCAGGGAATACGTTACCAAATTCCTCTTTTGGTTATAATTTGACTTCTACTCAGGCCAAGGTTTAAGCTGGTTGGAAAAAAGGCACCTTGTCTCCTTCAGCTATTTTCTCACACATGAAACAATGCAAAAACACAGACTGAGCCACCTCTTTTGGTAAGACAAGGGAGTAATTTCTCCTGTGTGATCCAGTTATACCTATGGAAAGTCTCGTTTTTAAAAGTGTGATGAGGCACAGTATTTCTTTGGGAATGCTTCTGTGAACTCGGATCTTCTACAAGGTACATGTGTAACTGGGCACATCTACATGTGTACATTGACTGTGCAGTAACCAAAATCACTACACAGTATGGGCATGCGTCTATATGTGCATGCCCATACAGCGCAGTGCATATGGTGACTTACACTGACTTGAGAGAAAAGTTGATACCTGTGTAGCAAAACCCCCAGTTTTTCTTTTTTTAAATTTATTTTAAAATGCAATCCCTCCCCTTCCCCAACCATTTCTGACTTTTTCTCTCCCTCTCTATTCCCTATAGATAAGTATAAGTGAGCTCAGACTTAGGATAAGACATTTTTATTTTGATAGAAAGTTTTTGGTTTTGGATATCCACTGTTTTATATTGTATAATTATTAGGTTTGTATTGATTTTTACTGTTGTATATTGTATTATTATCATTTTCACATTGATTTTTATTGTTTCATATGGATAGTGTATGGTTTAGGCTTGTGTTTGGAAGTGAACCAAAGTCATGTCAAGTTTCTATTTTATATGTCAAGTCTCCATCTTCTGTCCTCTGCCTGGGCATCCCATATTGCAACTGTATGATTCATGTACCCCTCCCATGTAAATTGGTTCCCCGATGAATGAGTGTGATTGGGAATGATTGAAATACAATGGTAGCAGGCCTCTACTGAATGGCCTGTAATGACTGGGCCATCACCTCGCATTGATTCATCCAGGAACCACGGACCTCACCCAGGAACAGAGACAAGACCAGCATTTGAAAGACAAAAGACCCTGCAGAACCAGCAACTCTACCATTGTACCCCACCATTACAGGCACCCGAAACTGCACACCCCTGCAAGGAGCACACATGCTCAGTACGCCAGGGGCTGACCCTTGCCTGGGCATGCCCCTGCCACTAGGGTCATAGAAGGTCTGCTCCTATAAAAGAGGGCACTGAAGACAGACTCAGTGGGAATGCCATTTCCAATCTGGACAACATCTACTGGACAAGGACCCTTTCCAGTCTGGATAAGTAGATATTACCTGCACACCTCCTCCTACAATTTGGACTCTCTCCCTGTCCCTCTCTCTCCTCCTGGACTTCAGTGGACTTCAGCCCCTGCACCAAACCTCTCTACCCCCTGCTGCCAGTGTGTGTGTGTGTGTGTGTGTGGGTACAAGGGAACCAATAAGACATTATGTCACCATCTCCCCTGTTCAATAAAACCACTGTCACTTACAACCCCAAGTTGGGTCATGTTGTACTGAACCTCAGTCCCTTCCTTATCTTAAATTCCAACCTCATTCTCTCTCTCTCTCTCTCAAAGCTACAGCCCCACCCCCTGCTAGTTTCCCAATCTCCTCCCAGTTCCATCTCCCCTTTTCTGCCACCTCTCAGCCTCTCCTTGCTTTCCTGCTGTCCCTGCTTCCTCTCAGCTTCCCCTGCTCCTACTGTCTTTTCTTCTGCCTTTCTCTGCTTTCCTTCTGCCCTGCCACCTTTCAGTCTCTCCTGCTACTTTTCCTGTGATTTTCTGCTGTCTCTCTCTCTGTTTTCAGGCTTCCCCTGCACCTTCTGTAGTCCTCCTGCCCTCCCCCGCAGCTTCCGAGCTCCTCTTAGCTGTCCTGCAGTTTTCTCCAGCAGCTGGAGCCTTTCTCCAGCTTCCAGCACTTTCTGCCACTCCCTGCACCTTCTCTAGCTGCCCCGGAGCCATCCTCTGGCTCCCCACACCCAGAGCCCCTCTTTAACACCCACACTTTCCCTTAGTCCCACTTTCCCTCTCCAGCACCTACCTTTTCAGCTCCCCTGTAGCTCTGGCTCCAGTCCCAGCCTCTGTGCTGGCATCACTTCCCTGCTTCACAGTCTTTGGGCATTGTCTTTTAATCAATTAAGATCAATTAACCTTAAGTTACCCCCAAGCCTCAGTTCTTTAGCCCAGGCCCCTGTAGTCTACCAGTTCTAATCCTGGTCCTGGTAATTTTAACTCCCTGTACTTCTACTTTCTTACCTTAACCTTTCCCCAGGTATCCCAATTACACCAAGCACATACATACATACACATCACAATGCCCAACTTAGGAAGTCACCTGTGTGTATGTGTAGGTTGGTGGTATGTGTGTGAATTGGTGAATAGACATATATATACATATATAGATATCATTGTGTGCGTGTGTGTGTGTGGTATATGAATTAGTACTCCATGTGTGTGAATTGGATGTGCAGGTGTTGGTAACTGGTAACTGATTCTGTCTGAATTTGGTGTGTGTAGTGTGTATGGACTTAAACTGGTGATAGTTGTGCATGAACCTAGACTACTTATTTTGAATGTGTGTGTATCTGAGCTGCTAGTGTAAGTGTGTGTGTGTGTGTGT